ACGCCCACAACGGGGCAGCAATGAAACGAAAACAAAATTATACCACGCAGGGGAGCCCTGCTCTTCACAGAACACACAGTTAATTGGGGAACATCATCGTCCCATTAACACATACACACACAGAAGTCTTACCTCACAGCCACACAGGCCATCAGCAGCAGCAACAGCGGCGCACGCACCCGCGCAGGGACGCCGCTGCCATCTGTGTGCTGAGCAAGAAGCTTCTCGCCATCCGCAGTGTCATCGGTCTTAGGCAACGACGCACCGGCAGGAGAATTCGAAGTGCCATCAGTGGTGTCGGGTTGATGGGGACGGTTGAGTCCTTTCTGTTCGTCCCTCTCACTCACTTTGCTCTCCAGAATCTCTTTTTGTTTCTTCTTAGCGGCTTCCAGCTGCTTGTTGGCTTGCTGCAACGCCGCTTCAGCGGTTGATTTCTCTGTTTTCGCCAGCTCTACTGCATTATCTGCACTTGATATTGCTATCTGCAGGAGGGCCTCAAGGTCGTCGGTATCCTTGACTGCCTCAGTAGTGCGCACTTTTGCCCCTTCCATTTTTTGCACTGCCCGTGAAACGATCTCAAACCCATCAAGCGTCAATTGTTTAAGTTCTGTGCATTCACTTTCAGGTATTGGTGTCTTCGTTATATCTTTCTTGGCCGCCTCTACCACTTTTGTTGCCGCACTCTGTACGGCGTTCGTTGCATTAAGAACATCCTTCACTGCTTTATTTCCCTCTCCCACTTCCGTGAGGTACTTCTTTACTACAGCAAATGCTTTACTCGCCTCTTGCTGGGCCCGCTGAATCTCAGCTACAACCTTCTCCGCTGCTGTTGGTATACTCGTCACCGCTTGCTTAGCCTTCTCCATAGCTGCCTTCGCATTCTGCTCCTCTTTCTCCACCTCTTTTAGCAGGCCATCAGAGTCCGATTCTGCCTTTGTAGCATCCGTTACAGCAGATTTAGCTCGAACCAATGCATCTTCAGCTTTCTTCTTTTCTATCGACAACGTTGAGGATTCCACTTTACAGTCCTTGGGTACAAGTTCCTTCAGCGCAGTTACAGCAGCTAACGTTTCTTTCAAAGCCTGGTCCCCAAGCCCCCCTGCCTTGTTGGTGCCTTCAGTCAGAATACCCCTTGCGCCCTCTGCTTTCTTCTTGGCAGCCTCCTGCGCCTTCACCGCTCTACTCAGTGCATCTTTAAAAGAATTTGCTGCTGTCTCCACATTCTTCGCAGCCTCCCAGGCTTCCGTCTTTGCAGCGACGTCTGTCTGCTTCGCCGACACATCAGACGCACCAACTGTGGGATGGCCAGCGGAAGTATCAGCAGCCGCCGC